TTGTGGGGAGAACATTTAAAATTTACTCTTAGTAATTATGATATACAACACACTATTAGTAACTATAATATAGTCCCATGCTGGGCAATAGATCTTGAAAGACACTTATTCCTCCTGAGATTTTGTATGCTTTGACCATCGTCTCCCTATTCTCCCCATCCCCCAAAAGCTCTGTAACCACTATTTTACTCTTCGCTTCTGAGTTCGATTGATTTAGATGCCACATATAAGTGAGAACATGAGGTATTTGTCTTTCTGTGCCTGGCTTATTTCATTTAGCATAATGTTCTCCAATTTCATCCATGTTGTCACAAATGACAGAATTTGTCATTCAGCCCACTTTATTAGGGCTGAATAGTATTCCATTGTGTATACAGTTAATCCTTGAACAAGGTGAGTGTTAGGAATGCCAACCCCCAATGCTGTCAAAAATCATATAACTTTTGACTCCCCCAAAACTTGACTACAAATAGCCTACTAATAGCCTACTGTTAACCAGAAGACTTACTGATATCATAAATAATTAACACATATTTTGTATGATAAATGTACTATATACTGAATTCTGACAATAAAGCTACAGAAAAAAATGTTAAGAAAATCATAAAGATGGGAACACCTTTAGCCACACTCAAGCATTACAAAAGTGATCCATGTAACATAAAACATTTATACCCTCTTAATATTTTAAAAAAGGTAAAACTGGAAAAAAATCATAAGGAAAAGAGAATAAATTTACTATAAGTCTAAGTGAATCATCCTGAAAGGTTTCATCTTCATGGTCTTCATGCTGAGTAGGCTGAGGAGGAGGAAGGGGGGTTGGTCTTGCTGTCTCAGGGGTGGCAGAGGTGGAAGAAAATCTGCATATAAATGGGCCCTCAGAGTCCAACCCTGTGTTGTTCAAGGGTCAATTGTGTATACCACATTTTCTTTATTCATTCATCTCTTGATGCACACTTAGGTTGATTCCATAACTTGGCTACTGTGAACAGTGCTGCAATGAGCATGGGAGTGTAGACATTTCTTTGCCAAACTGCTTTCAAATATTTTGGGTAAAT